AATGACAAAGTAAATTAAAACTAAGAAAAGCATTCTGCAGAGTAGTCAAGAATGATAGCAAGAACCTATGATGTTTGGGAGTCTACTGGACCTACAACTAAAAAGAAGTCATACATTCCTGCCACTGGACTTTTGTTTACTAGCCCTGTCTAGTGTGGAGATATTTTCCTTTATAGGGTAACTCCATTTTAACTCTGTGTGTGTGTGTGTGTGTGTGTGTGTGTGTGTGTGTGTGTCTGTGTGTCTGTGTGTCTGTGTGTGTGTGCATGCATAGGTATATTTGAGAAATTTCCTATGGTAATATGTTTCCATATGACTTTTTCCAAAGGTCTTTAGTATTATTTATCCATCCTATATTACTTCACTTACCTATCCTCCTCTCCCTGACCCCAATATAAACCTTCCTGTTCCATTATCCCCTTTCAACTCTTTATACCACTGCATTCTATTGCTCTGCCTATGAAAGACCCTTCCTCTGGCCCCTTAAAAATTTCCTGACCTTTATAGGTGTTACAAACACAACACATATCTGAAGATTCAAAGCTAACATCCACAACTGAGGAAAAATGTGCAACATTTGTCTTTCTGAGTCTGGCTTTCCTTATTCAGAATGAATGTCTCCACGTCATTCACTTACCTGAAAATTTCATAAGTTGATCTTTCTAAACAGCTGAATAATATTCCAATGTGTAAATATATATTTTCACTATTCGTTCATGAGCTGTTGGACATCCTGGCTTCTTCCTTTTGGCTATTGTGAGCAGAGCAGCAATGAACATGGATGAGCATGCATTTCTAGATTAGGATACGGAGTCGTTTGGGTAAATGCCCAAAGAGGTACAGCTTGATCATGTGGCAGACATTATTTTTAGCTTTCTGAGGAACTCCACACTGATATTTACAGTCATTACTCCAGTTTGCACTCCTGCTGGCAATGAATAAAAGTCTTCCCCTTTCCCACATCCAGCTCAGCATTTGTTGATGCTGGGTTTCGTTGTTGTTGTTTTGTTTTTCTTTTGCATTAATCACTCTGACTGGAGTGAGAAAAAATATCAAAGAATTTTAAATTGTGTGGCTAAGGATTTTTCTTAAGTTGTTTTCTTTCTTTTTTATTGGGTTGTTCATTTCCTTTCCTTTTAGGGGAGTACTTTCCTTTTTCTAAAGCTCTTTGTATATTCTAGATAGTAACTCTCTATCAGATGTATAGTTGGTAGAGGTTATTTTCCTCACTCTATGGACAGCCTTTGTTCTTCAGAAGACTTTAGTTTCATGAGGTCCCATTCATTAATTGTTAGTCTTAATGCCTGGACCATTGGAGTGGTTCACAAAGTCTTTTTCCTGTGCCATTGAAGCCAAGCATATCCCTAATTTCTGCCCCATCCCATTCAGGGTCTGAAATCTTATGTGAAATTCCTTGATCCACTTGCAGTTGAGTTTTGTGCAGGATCAGTAATAAGGATCTAGTTTTGTTCTTTTGCATCCAGTGTGATCAGCACCATGTGTTAGAAATGCTGTCCTTTCTCCAACCTGCGTTGTTGGCCTCTTTGTCAGAACTGAGGTGGCTTTTTTAGTCTGTTTTTATTCCAGTATTATATTGTCTTTTTTACTGTAGCTCTGTGGTATAACTTTAAGTCTTAGACAGTAATGTCTCCTGCAGGGTTTTGTTTTGTTTTGTTTTTATCTCTGGTGTTCAAGATTGTTTTGGCTATTCTGGGTATTTTGTATCTGCAGAAAGTTAATATTATTTATTCAACTGAGAAAACTGTGTTAAAATATTAAGGGTTACACATTGACTTGGGAGATTGCTCTTGATAGGCTGACCATTTTCACATTAACCCTGCTAATCCTCTAGCTGGGGATATCTTTCTATCTTCTGGTTTCTTCCTCTACTTCTTTCTTTGGTGTCTTAAAGTTTTGAAACAGACATTAAGAAACAAGATTTTAAGATCAGAGCAGTTCAGCCAGGGCTGGTTTGAGTGCATGGGTGATTTAGTCATAAAGGGGAAAAGGGGAAGTGGTTATGCACATTACCATGTGTTTCCACTTCCTTCCTCAGGGAGGAAGAGATACACATTGAAGACTGGATCATCTGATGGTGCAGAGAGAGAAAACACTCCCCTCAGCTGCACCAGAGAAGCAGCTTAAGGCTGCCTTTGCTTTTCCTCACCTGTGTGAGCTCTGCCTGTGCTGTCTGCTCAGGCTCACTGGGAACCCTGAACTCCACTGTCTGCTTCCTTCCCTCCTTCTGTCCTGTGTTTCTAGATCATGCTCCACATCACCTTGATAACGCGATGAGGTGATAGAACAAAGTCCAACAGGAGAAAAGCCATGGATAAAATATAAAATCAAAGATGGCGAAGTGGTAAGGGAAAATGGAAAGCTCGGGGAACAGGCAGAATCATGGATAGGTCCAAGTCAAGTGTGCAGATGAATAGAAAACATTTTAGCCTTTCCAGGGAGCTAGATGTAAAACTGAGTCCTTAATGCACGATCCCTCTGAAGGACTTTGAAACCAGATTTATCCTGCTCTTTATAGAGGGATTGGTGTAGAAAAGACAGACCTAACATAACAGGA